TGCTTACCTACATGCCCATCTCTCTCTCTCTCCCTCTCTCTTCATATCCTTGCTGTACTTTTGTATCTGTATCTTTTGCTTGGTCGCGTATCTGTGCGAGTTTGTTGCGCCATAAACACGCATGCGATACATATTTTATAGCTGCAAATGAAATCTACAAGCGCTGTTCACATACACACACACCCGCACACACGCACACACGCATTTAACTCTTTTGTATGCGCTGCATTACACTCGCGCGCATTTGTTTAGAAACTGAAAAGTTTTTTATTTATGCTTTGTTCAGAGCACATCATAAATTTGAAAAAAAAAAAAAAACTTTTTTCCATTTTATGTAGCCTACTTTTTGGTGTTATAAAGAGATACACGAGAACGCGCTAGCTTGCTTTAATATAGAGCATGTAGAGCTTTGACTGTAGCTATGCAACACTTCCTTAGATATTCCAGTAGTATGGATCGGCTTTAGATAGCATTAAAGTCTTGATATGCACAACTGTTCTATAGGAACTCAGCTGACTTAAGAGAACCCTTTATAGAACTAAGTACAGGTAAATAATAAAAGAAGAATAGGTGAAGAATAATGGAAAATGAAAAATTGAAGAAGAGTAGAAGTAAAATAATTGAAGAAGAAGAAAGGCAAATGAAGAAATTTCGAAGAACAAGAATATAAAAAAAAAGAATAGAAGAAGAATTAAATAAGAAGAAAAATATTTTAAAAAAAATTTTAAAAATTATTGGAAGCATAGAAGAATAGTATAAGAAGAAAAAAGAAAAAGAAAGAAAAGAAGAGATGAAGAGAAGAATAAGAGAAGACTAAGAAGAATGAATGAAGAATAGAAGAAAAAGATTAGACGAAGACCAATTGATGAGGAAGACGAATAGAAAAAAAAGAATAAAAGAAAAACAACTGATGAAAAATAAAAGATTAATTGAAGATAAATAGTAGAATGCGAGAAGAACAATAACCAAACAATAGAAGAAGAATGTACGAAAGAAAATATGCATAAAAGAGAAGAAGAAGACGAAGAGTGGTAGAAGAATTTGGTTCTTTTCTAAACAAATTTAGGAACTGCAACTAAATAAAATTCTTTAGAAGCTTAGACATTGCTGACAACAGCTTTGATATATCTGAACAGTTTGCAGACGTATTCAAAATTTAAATAAATAAATTTATAAAATTTATTGTAGATTTATAATGTTGTTAAGAACTGCATTAAAAAGTGGAAAATCCATAAAACTCGGTATAAATATCTGCAAAATTGTCTTAGTTTCTGTCATAGAAATTTTGCAAATTTAGAATTATTTTAAAATAACAAACGAGTAGATTAGCTTTAGGCGGGAGTGCACGACTGCTATATACCCTGAAGCTAGCAACACACACATAGACGAACAGATGGAGATCCCTCGTTAACCTCTTCGAGCATATATATATATATATACTTTATGGTATCTGCCACGCCTTCTCTTACCTTTACCTACATATATACCCGTTTCAATAAATGCAGGGTATACAAAGTGTTACAGCAACTGCAAACATGAGGTGTAAGTTCTCTTCTGACTTCACAGTCTCGTTCAGTTCCTCGAAAACTTGATAACTTTAATCCTTGTTTGCTCAAATCCTGTTGGCCTGCCTAAACATCATTTCCAGCAGTTGTTCAAGGTATTTTTGCCTGGGCCTAGCTGCCATCATCTATCATCAGTGCTTGGCCAACTTTGACCAACAAAGCTACGCCCTGCCACTGGCTGCTGCTGCTTGGTAATCAAATTGCCATCAGCGTACCTCTAGCTCCCGCTCCGCCCCCTCCTACTACCTCTCTCTTTAGAGTTTGCTTAATTAATCATTAATATGCACGTGCCTATTGATTTTGTTGTTGTTGTTGTTGTTGTGGTTGATTTGCTTGGCAAAATGAGGTTCGCTGAACCCGTGCTTAATGTGCCACGCCCCTGCCCAACTGGCGTCGTGTTCAGCTCATTATGCAAGGGTTTAGTTGGCAGCACACAATAAGCGTTATTGCCATTTGTAATTGGCAGCAGCTGCTGCCGCTGCCACTGCCGCTGCCACTGCCACTGCCCCTGCCCCTGCCCCTGCCCCTATTGCTGCGGCTGCTTGGGCGTCTCATTGTCGGCGCCCATGAAATCGTTTTGCGCAAATGACATGAAAAGCAAAGCCAAAGCAAAGCAAACCCCCAGCCCCAGTGCCCCATTTGGAGCTGCAGCTTACGCAATGATTGACAAGCTGCGCCCTGGCCGCGGGGCTGCTGTGCTGCTGGGTGAGCTGCGCCCTCAGCTGTGCAGCTTAGCCAAATGCAATTGTTATTTATCACCTGTCGGGCTGCCGAACCATTGCGCCGTTAGCATTAATTAAATTACCAAGTTGAGAGACGGGCATCGAGCAAATGACAAACTTGTTACAGACTCTCAGCCTCCCCCTCACCCAGTCTCTGTCTCCTTCTCTATCGTTTACCTTTCAACTATGGCGCCCGGTCTGCTGCTGTCTTTTAATGGCATTTGATAATGGGCTCCGGTGTTTGTGTTTGTATTTGTGTCCTCCCATCTGTGCCTGTGTGTGTGTGTGTGTGTGTGTGTGGAAAATGGCGCAATGACGTCGTCCAATGATGCTGATGAGCAAACGCGTGGGGCGGCAAATGAAGATGTAGCTAAACATCTAGAGCTGGCTGTGAGTAGCAAATGAGTGTTTGTTACGCTGCGTGATCGATGGCGGAAAGCACTAAAACAAAAAGTGACAAATGCTAAATAGCAGAAGGCTGTGTGCGCAGTTTGACGGCCATTGCTTATATAACAGTTTGAGAGCTAGGCCAACTAAGGACAAGCGAGCACAACTAAATGCTAAAATTCTAGTAACATTTAACATATGCTTAAAACTCAATACAGTTTGACATTCACACATGCACGAATACAGTTTGAGAGCTATACGTAATGCTCATCTGTCTTAAGCTAGCCAAGCACTACGATTGACAGCCTCGCAAAGAATAACAGCTTAAATATGCAGTTTTAGAAGCACTGATAAGCAGTCACAGTTTGGGAGCTACAACAAATTAATAACCACAAAATTGAACTACTTCCAAACTATCGAACTATTAGAAGTATTGGGGGAAAAGGTGACCATTTAAGCCGAAATACAGTTTTACAATCACTGCATACCAGTTGCAGTTTGAGAGCAAGCACCTTAAAGTCTAAAGTCACTGCAGCCAAATTGCAAATTATACAGTTTGACAGCTACTGTTGCATTCCAACATTTTGAAAGTCACAGCTAAGCAGTTACAGTTTGAAAGCAATAGTGAACTTTAAAGACTGAGTAAACCATGTTTGACAATCACAGCTTGAGACCTTGATTAAGGATTAGTTTGAACAGTTTGAAAGCCACTCTGAAATATTAATTAAAATAGAATCGATTAAAATCGAATTAAATCAACAACAAAGTGGTACCGTTAGAGAGTCACAGTTTTAGGAACACTTCAAATTAATGTTGCAGACCTTAACAAAAACAGCATTTTGCTTAGCTTTTGTTAATTTTGAGGACTCTTCACTTATGTCCAGCCTGTCGAACGGCGCAACGGTTTGAGCAGCACTGGCACTGAGCATTGTGACTGTGCAGTCGAAATGTGTTCGAGTGGCTGCTTTGACAGCGATGGCTCTCAAACTGTGTCAAGTGCACAATGCAAAGTGGGTCACTGCAAAAAGCAGCAGCACCAGCAACAGCACAAACTGGGCGTGGCACTCGAAAGGGGGGCGGGTCAGGGCGGAGGCGGGGCAGTCAAAATGCTCAAAGTGGCGGCCAGGATAAGGACGCTTATGTAAAGCATTTGCCGTGCGACTCGACTCGACTCGAACAGTTTAGGAAATTAGAGAAATTAAAGAAATTTCATACACAATAATAATAGAAATTTAATATTATTTAATATATTGCTATATTAAATTTAATTATATATACAAAATCACATATTATTTAAAAATTTATATGTGGAAACCCAAATATAAAATATATTTATTTAATTCGAATTATTAATTGTTAACTTATACTATGTTTTAAAATGAATATAAACAATTTAAAGAATTGGATAGTTAAATCATCATATATATTTTTTTTATATAAACGTATATATATTTTTAATTTGAATTAAATTTAATTTAATAATATAATATAATATAATATAATAAAGATTTCTATGATTAATAAAAATTATTTTAATTATTTAATAATTACTGTTAAATTTAAAAATATTTATATATATATATTTATTCCAATTTTTATTTTATTATTAAATAATTACTTTTTTTAAATTTATTAATTGAATTTTTACTTAAATTCTTTTTATAGATGCGCACAATTAGCTTAAAAACGACAACGACAACAGCAACAACAACAACAACAACAACAGCAGCAGCAGCACGCAGCGCAAACAAAAACAACAACAGCCAGAATTTACAAGCAAAAGGATAATCACAATAAAGCACATGCATAAAGTAAAAAACAATATTAAAATTTAAAAATATTAACATATAAAAAATAAAAGCAAATTTTCAACCTAAAAACGTAGCACATCAAAAGCCTTACAAAAAACACTTAAAAATAGCAGAAAATAAACTAAAAAAACATTTGTGCTGTGCTCTTAATTATAGTACTTAAAAATTCAACACCAACAGCATAAAAGTGTTGCAAAAATAAAATTCAATAAAAAATATATAAAATATTAAATTTAAACTTAACAAATAAATATAATCATTATTCTTCCACTTCAAAGTTTAAAAAGTGTAATTTTTAAATTCAATAAAACAAAAACAAATAACTAATTAGACAACAAATTTAGCAAAAAAAAAAAACAAAATAAAAGTAAAATTATATTTAGAGCTATATAGATAAATATATATATATACATACATATATATATATATATATATACATTCAAAACTTTTAGTAGCGCATTAAAGGCATTAATAAAATTTTTAATTAAACTTAGCAAAGAGCGTTGTGAATTTAATACCAAAAACAAAACCAAAAACTTTAACTAAAACCAAAAACTAATAAGAACTTTAACAAAATTAACTAAAACTAAGCAGCAGCAGAACTAAAATATTGTCTATTAGTAGTTTTTAATGGTAAATTTTAAATGCAACTTTTAAACGAGCTTCAGCGCAGACGAATTGCAAAACAACCAACATTCACCTTAACCTTAAACTTGGAATAAACAATCGACAAAAAAACACACACGAAAAAAATTTGGACGACGACGCCGACGCCACCTGCGACTGCGACAGCGACAGCGACAGCGACCTTGTCGTGCATTTGCATTTAGCTATTTGGGCTATTGCACAATAGAGGGCGCCACACGCTAACTGCTGGCCGTCATGACAGGAAGTGAGGTAGGCGGCTTACGTGTGTTGTTGGCCTTAGCATAACCTTAAGCCTTCCCACACACTCACACACATACATACACACACATCCACAATCACATCCCCGCTGCCCGCTCCCCTCTCTCTCACCTACTTGCACCTTTGCAGTGGGCAGAAAAATGCAGGAAATGAGCTACCTGCAGGATAATTCCAAATTGGAGGCACTCACCAAAGCCGTACTCATCTCCATACTGGGCGTGGCAATTGTATTATCCAATTTGCTAATCATTGCCACCTATGCGAACTTCAAGGGTAAGTTTAGCCCCTGGCTATTGAGTTGATTTTCCATAGATTGCACTTACATTCCACACGTGGCGGTCTCTTAGGTCCCACAGAGGTCATCAACTACTATCTGCTCTCATTGGCTATTGCGGATCTGCTATGCGGCCTACTCGTCGTGCCCTTCTCAGTCTATCCCGCTCTAACGGGCGAATGGATGTATGGAGATATCGTATGCCGGTTCACCGGCTATCTGGAGGTGACACTGTGGGCCGTATCGGTCTACACGTTCATGTGGATCTCGGTGGACCGTTATTTGGCTGTGCGCAAGCCGCTGCGCTACGAAACGGTGCAAACGAAGACCCGGTTAGTGATGAGCGATAATCGATAGGCGATCATTTTGTTTACTGATTAATGCTTTTTGCTTGCAGCTGCCAGTGCTGGATGGTCTTCACGTGGATATCGGCAGCGCTGCTGTGCTGCCCGCCGATACTCGGCTATTCGCAGCCGATAGTCAATAACTTATCGCACATCTGCATGCTCGACTGGGGCAACATGGCAGCATACAGCGCAACGCTGGCGATATTAGTATTAGGGCCCAGCTTAATATCGATAGTACACAACTATGGCTACATATTTGTAATGATGCGTAAGATACGATCGGGCGAGCCGATACATGATAAAGAATATGCAACAGCATTGGCTGAAAATTTATCGAACCCTAGTCATATGATGTCATTCGCATTAGTCTTTGCATTCTGGATGTCCTGGCTGCCATGGATATTATTGCGACTATACGAGGTGGTCATGGGCGAGGTTATCCAAAATACTCTTATTAATTTCGCTGTCGTCTGGATTGGCATATTGAATTCGTTTTGGAAAATTTTGATCATGTGCAGCATGTCGCCCCAATTTCGCATCGCACTGAGAGTATTTTGTTTAACCATTTGTTGTAAGACTAAGGGCAGATTGCAAGCGGAGCTAATCGGGTTGGACCCAGATGACTAGAGCCGTTAAATTTTCAAGTATAAATTGGTTGTAAAATGCATCTCTCTCAATATATATACATATATATATATATATATAGATATGTGTGTGTGTGAAATCCATCTATATATATATATAGTTGCCCTACTAACTGAACCGTACTTGCCTCTAGGCCACATGGTTGCATATTTAATGGAGTGCGGGGAGTACCCTTACCCCCACCCCCACTCCCACCACTAACACCCACTTACAAGAACACGAACATCTAAATAGATTTGAAAGACATATTCATTTAGTAGCTCGTAAGCTTTACAATTTAGTGAAAGTTTTTTAAGCATAAAGAAAATTATGTTACGAATTCGAGGGATTTATTGATATATGTATTATTGTGTATTTATGAGCTTATATCTGTACGTATATAGCATGATACATATCTAGCTATATACCCATATAGACAACAAAATCGATAGTCGATAGTCGATAATCGATAATCCATTATCGATAATCGATAATAACAACTAACGCCTAGTCTACTTCTGTATTCAAATTATATCACAACAAAATTCTAGTTCAATTTAACATTTGGCTGCAGTTCCGCTTCCATTTCCGTTTCGTTCCGCAACTCTATTGAAAAACCACAACAAATATCTAGACGCTTGGCGTTTAAAGCTTTCGAAAAGTCCATATTCAGTAGCATTCTAGAACTTAGTTTAAAAACTTAACTTAATAAATGCCAAATGGAGAGAAATGGAGAGAGACAGCAAGTGGGAGGGAGACAGAGAGCAGCGTAGTTAAAAGTTTGTAGTTCCCCAAGTTCCACGCGTTCCACACGTTCCACATCGATTAACTTTAACAGAACTTAGCTCAGAAATCGGAAAACCAACACAAAAATCACATTTCCACTAGAATTAGCGTTAAAATATATTATTGAAAAACATAATATATAAACGAGGGTGGTCTGAAAAATGAGTGACTTAACAATATATATATTTTATATATATATATTAATTTGAATAAATTGATTTTGAGTTTTCTCTTTCAAGAGTCGCAAATTCTTCAGACTTTCCTCGTCTTTATATATTTAGTTTGTAGTGAAGATATACATATATACTACTATATATATATATATATCTAATGCATACAAATCGTAAAATATAGTTGATTAATAATTATAGTTAATATAGTTTAACATTAATTTAGAATTAAAAAACCGAAAACGAAAAGTTTAATTAGTTGAATTCACATCATGAATTATGTATTATATAAACACACACACATATATGTAAAGATTTACTAATTTTATGATTTGACAGGCGGCACTTAAGCAAATCTTGGCCACAGATTTTCAACAGACTGTTGCGATTTTGCCTAGTTCCCTTAGTGGGTTAAATTCAGTTTCTATCATCTGCGCCGGCATTTGCTTGCGTGCAGCCTCAATTTGTTGTTAATTATTATTATGACACACAAACATTAGCGATATATTATTATTCACGTACAGGCCAAGGTGCATTGTGTATATGAATTCATTGTACATTCGTTTGCAATCATTTTTAAAAATTAATTTTACTAAATGTTATTGATTTTTGGAAAAATTGTGGAAAAATTGTTAAGAGTAATATGTATATACGTATATATGAAATATATATATATATGTGTATATGTGATCATCAAATTGAGTGCAGTAAATTAAAAAGTACATGGAAAGGTAAAAAATAATTTTTGTTTAATTCAAATCTTAAATTTAGCGCGCTAAGAAATGCCACAAGAATACCGGTTTAAGTAATTGAGAATAATACTGCTAGTTTTGGCGATTGCCGACTCTCTGCAAATACATTATACGTATATCGATATTAAAGGTCACAATATGCCAGAAGTGGCGGCTAATGATAGGTGTATCGATATATCAGCAGCTGTAACAAGTGGCCAGAATTTGTTTATATTCTGAGCTGAGACTACTTTGTTAAGTAGTATTAAAATGGAACATCGCAAAAACAATCCAGGTGCCGTGCAATATGGAAACTTTATGAATTATTATCAATTCAATTCAGCTAGTGAGCGAGTTAAATTGTTGCCCGGTAAAAATATTTGGCTGCCACCAAAGCAGGAGCAACAAAGCATGGAGCCAAATGAAATCAACCCGTATTTGGTGCTAGATGTTGGCTGCAATTGCGGCGTCTTTACGCAGCTGCTACAGAGCTTTCTGGAAGCGCAACTGAAACGGCCTGTCCATGTGCTAGGCGTCGACATAGACGAACGGCTCATCCAGCGTGCTCAGCTGGAAAACACGTGCGTCGAAAAGATAAGTTATTTTTGCGGCGATGTACTGGATGCGGCTAGCTTTGATGGAATCATTGCGAAGTATTTGCAGCAACAGCAACGCACAAAATTTGATGCAATTTGCTGCTACTCAATAACCATGTGGATCCATCTCAATCACCACGACAGCGGCTTGCAGAGCTTTTTGAGCAAACTGTCGCAGCTGGCGGAGCTGTTCGTGGTGGAGCCACAGCCTTGGAAATGCTATCAGACTGCGGAGCGGCGCTTAAAGAAAGCGGGTGAAGTTTTTCCCTTGTTTCTAGAGCTGAAATGGCGTTCAGACGTGGAGCTGCAGATACAGAAGTATATGGAGCGTGATCTGGGCAGGCAAAGCATATTCGAATCCATACCCACCAAATGGCAACGTAAAATTTGTTTCTATCGATGAAGCTCCATGGATGATCTAAGCGAGAAAACTGACTAAATCAGCTTTGGCGCAGCTGTTAACAGTGGCAATAACATTGATGTAATGCAAATGTAATTTTCAGCTCCTCCAGTTAATGTAAGTTTGCAGTATCTGGAAAGGAAGGGAAGAAACTCTCAACAGTGGTAACATTTCGGTAATTAATATTATAAGTAAATGTGTTTGTTAACCAAAACTGTGATAAAATATAAATAGTTATATATAACCAATCACTATTGGCTTTACCAATTTTATATGTAAATGGAACATTCAAAGAACTTGCCGCGCTTTCTATTTGAATACCAGCTTAACAGAACTATGTTAAACTACATCGATGACTATCGCGAATACTCACTTCTCGATTGTTGCATGCAACGGCGCAAAAAAACATTAATCGAAACCGTCGCATATCATCCAACCACCACAATCTGTAGTGTAGACAACAACAAATGTGTGAGCGGTTGTCCAGGAACTGCAAAAAGTGAGTTAAATAAAATGATAACGTTCAATCGGCACAACACAAACCAGTGTAATGAATTGCGTCTTAACATTTTGGGTGCGCAAAAACAACAACGAAAATTGCAAAAACAAAACGAAAACAGCAACGTGTAAAAAAAGCGTGCGGCCAAATGAAACTTGTTCAGCTTGTTTGTGTTCTATTCGCATGGTTACTTCAGCTAATTAGCCAAGCTACAAAATGCTAAGAGGTCTTATGTATGTATATTTGTATGTATGCATGTATTTGTCTATGCATGAATCCTGATGTTATTCCAGCGAAACAAAAATAAATGTGTGTATGTCTCAAATTTAATGGCCATAACCTTTGGCCTTTGTCACTTGTTGACAAAAATAAATTTAGCTTCTTCCAGTTCCAGGCCAAAACATACAAAAAACTTGTGCTTTAAACAGGGCTTCAAACGCTCCCAGTCTTCCAGATCCCCTTGCACCCACACGCGTTTACATTTTAAGTATTGTTGCCAGCTGTTTTAGCATCCACAGCAATGGCTCTGACTGTGGATGGCATGTTGCACACGTCTGTGTGGATGCTGACCTGTTGTAATTTGTTGTTATTGTTGTTGCTTGTGTATGTATTTGTTAGCCAGCTGTTGAGTCTGCTTGGATCCTGTTTAACTCCACAAATAATAGACATTTGTATATGTGTGTGTGAACGACGGTATGTGGGTATGTGTTAGTGTTATAAAACGGCATTTGCTTTGGCTTCGCTTTGCTGCGTAGTTACATACATGCATATATCCATCCTGCAAAATGTCTACCCTGTCACACATTGGCGTAAAGTCATACGACATGTTCTACAATCAAATAATAACAATAAATCTAATTGATTTACGTAAACAATAAGAATTTCTACGATGTTTGTTTCTTATTAAGTATTATAATTGTAATAACATTTATACGGTAATTAGCTATGCGTAGCCCACTGTGTTTGCTTCATCGCATAGAAAACACAGCTGTAAGTGTTGTTGTTTTTATTTGCGCTTACCAGTCCTTTACCCTGCACAGACACAGACACACTCAATCAAGCATATACAGATGCATACATACACACATAAAACTGCGCGTTTACATTCAGCACGTACACATACGCTCTAACACCAATACATATGGCGAGGGTTAGTTGTGGACTCCATTTGGCTTCGCTTGGGCACTTGAATTTGCCGTCACCTTCTTCATCGTCGTCGCCGTCGTCTGTCTTTTCAGTACCTTCGTGCAGCGCAATACGCGCGGTGTGTGTTTTTGCTCGCGCAGAGTTTCTTATTTGCCGCCCGTTCATTAATTGTTAGTAATCCAAGCAAAAGAAAAACAAAAATAATAAAAAGGGCAATCTGCATGCATATAAAAATAAACATATCCCGCACAAACAATTCAAATTAATAAAAATCCAACAGCGAGCGTTGCTAACATCTTCTCTTTTACTCCTACTCACGCTCTTCTCTTTACAGTTTTTGCAATATGTTGGCGCAGGTTCAGCGAAAAGTATGAGAAATGCAAAAATGTTATAAATATAAAATGCTATAAATATGTGAAACTCCATAATAAAAGAAAATCAAATGAGTGCGTGTGTTTGTGTTTGTGTGTGTGTAATCGAAGTGGAAAAAAGTAAAAAGCAAATATGCGCGCATTTTGTGTCTGTATATGGCTGAGCGTCACGCACACAAATGAAATAAAATCCAAACAGAGCAAAGTCAAAACTCTGCCTAACTTCCCTCGTCTCGCCGCACTGCAACCTCCTCTACCTCTTCCTCTGTGACGGCGCTGTTGCTTTTTGGATTTTATTTGTCGCTTCTTCGTATACACCCCCCACTGTTTCCTTTTTTTTTTTTTTTTTTTTGCAATATCAAACAGTACACACAAATACAAAAATAAATCAAACGAGGATTCTGTTTGGTTTACCGTTGCGTAGCGCATGTCAAGCAGCAATAGAAATAGGCAACAATAAAACTTCGTATTTATCAACGTTTTGTTTCTTCTTTTTTTCTCAATTATTACAGCCAGCGCTCAGCCACATTTAAGCGTTTGTGTCCCCAGCAAAATAAAAAATGCATTTTAATCACCGCAAGCAAACTAATTAAAAGCTAAAACAAAAATTTAGAAAAATATATTTAATAAAAAAAAACACAATGTGAGCATGTGTAATGTGAAATTTAGGAGTTAAGCGCGAATTGTATGTATTATTTAAATTTCTGTTCGATAAGTTTGCATAAAAAATTACCAAAAAAACGTATTTAATAAAAAACACTTGTAAAAATAAAAAAAAAAACGTAAAAGCAACAAAAAATAAGGAACGAATACAAAACAAGAACAAAAAGCAAATCTGCAGCAACAACAACAGGACCAAACGGTAGAGAGAGCAAACATAAACGAGAGTGCGAGGGAGAGAGCAACGTGGTGAGCGCAGCGCGCAGTACGCTTTCTTGTTGTTGCTGCTGCCTGGCGAAGCAAAGGGTGCAAAAAGGAGAAAATGTCAACGTTCTTGAACAATTTCTTTCCGGCAGGTAAGTGCCAATGCAAAGTAAAGCAAAACAAAAAGCCCAAACACAACAAACGCACACAAACACAAAAGGCCACAGCTTGAGCATATATCTATATACACCTGTGTGTGTGTGCGTTTGCAATTGAAAGTCACCTTTGGCATATTTCATACACAAATTGGTTTTCGCTGTTTGTTGCCTATTCCCATGTTTCGCCTTTAATTTCGCCGCGCTCATTCCTTGCGTTGGAAATTGAATTACTTCCAAGTCGCAGCTCATGATTATGGGCAATTACATGCAGCCGTGACCATGGAAGGGATCATGGAAGGCGCACGAGCGAGATAGCACTATGCCGCTTGTAAACTGAGTGCGCGAGTGAGCGTCGCAATGCATTAGCAACGCTTAAGCATAATACCCATCAGCAAGTTCTCTGTAATCAATCTACCCTAAGCGCTGTAAGTACAGGAGTGGGAAAGGGAGAGATAGATGCTTCGCTTGATTTGTTATTTTTTATGGTTTTTATTTTCTTGGAAACGATCAAGCGAACGGGTGTTCTACCCTGCTGCAGCGTAGAAAGTTGTTTCCAGTTTGAAACAAGTTCCACTTGTCCTTTGTGGATTGCTTGATCCTGGCGCACAAACAGGCATTACCTGTGCTAGAAAAAACCACTTCCTTTTTCCTTTACTAAACAAAAATACACAAAAAAATAAAAGAAAAATAAAACCAGTTCCAGGTCGCGCTGCAACGGCAGCTGACGGAAATACAATGACTTGAAGTGTTGCGACTTCTGGTTCAGTTCTCTCTCGGTAGGTGCATTGGGTTACCTGTTGAGGTTGCCTTTGTTATTTCGCATACCCTGTAGCACTTATAGATAGGGCTTATTGGTTTTGTGAAGGTGTTTATAACATGCAGCAAAAAGAAGTCTTCGACTTCATAGGGTCAATTTATTTATAGACATTACTTAGAATACATGAATAAAAGTCAGCATCATTTGAGTATTACAAGTGGAGAATGCTACTTCTTTAGAGTTTTTACAATAATGGCGCCAGTCGGCAGGGTATCTTCGAGTCTATCATGATTGTTCTTTCTTTTTTGGATCGTTTAGTATCGAATGCAATTTGAAACTGGTTTCTTGACTTCCACTTGGCTGCTGTTTGCCTGTTCTTTGAGTTTGGAAGCGATTTTAGCCATGTCCCCAGCTTTCTGCTACCTTTTGTCCAACGAAGTATGAATATGGCCAATGCCAATGAATGTTTATAAATATTCCACAGAATTTTTTCAATTTAGATTGGGTTTTCCTTAAATTAACATTGAATTCTCCACATACGCAAAAATTTCTTCAAATAAACATATAAATCCCACAGAAACCTAAAAAATACAATTTACTTTCTCATTTAACGTCATGTGGGCCAATTAAAATTTTCCATTAGGCCTTAAATTCAATTTGATTTCTTTCTACATTTCCCAGCCAAAAATTTCCCTAAAAAACATAAATAAAAAGGAAAAGAAAACATGGTCTATGAATTTCCTTATAAACAATAATTTCCCCAAATAAACAGTAAATTTCCCGCATAAAATTTCCCTTGCACCCAGGCAGCAACTCTTGTTTATCTTTGGCATATTTCTTGGTCTACACACTTTTTAATTGTTTATTGTTTGCAATTTGTTTGTTGCGCTTCCTTTGGTTTGTTTGCTTTTGTTTAGCAAATTCTTAAGATGCTGCTGCAAAGTATGCAACACATTCCTTGGCACATTTTTCATTCGCACGCGCTTTGCATAATATTTCGCTGTGGCAGCTGCTATCGAGAATGGCACCAAACCCACCCTCCGAACCCCAGTCCCACTCCTGCACTCCCCCAACCCCATTTCGTTGGCTATTTAAATTCGCATTCACTTTCGCTTGGCAAAGTGTCTGCCCTTGAGGCACGCGTTACTCATACGTCGCGTCGTCCACAGTGAAATTGTGTGCCTGTGTATTGTGTGTGTGTGTTTGCTGGAATGTAACGTCTGGCAGTTTTATTGCCATTAGCTGACCTCATTATCTATTGCCCTCTGGCAATGGGTTTCCCTTGCTTATATTTATTTCCTGATTTCGAAATGTTTGTTCTGGCCAAAATTCTCTTTCAATGCCAACACAATTAATATTTCCCATAACAACTATATTCTAACTTGAACTAGTTCACTCGGAACTTGCTTTACATATGTATTGTATATATTATTATTTTGTTTCCTAATAGGCAAGTATACAAAATATTATTCACCTATGAATTTCTTGTTACTCACACCCACTTGTACTTAAATGTGAACTAGAACGCTTAAACTGGCTCACACTGTCCGCATCTCTAAGATAAATGAGCGGCTACAGTTTGACAAGCGCTCACTGCAATGCTGCTGATGCTCAAACTGTATTATCAGACGACTTGGCGCGTTTTGTTTTTGTGTGTCTTTTTATTTTTGTTTTGTCTGTTTGCTTTTGCGCTGGGTTTCGTGTATGTGTGTGTGTGTGTAACGTGTGCTTCGTCTTCATTGTTGCTGCTTACCTTTTGAGTTAGTCACTCTTTGGCATCGAACGTTACCACACGGCGAACGCGGCGAACGAGAGCCTCAATACAAGTGTGAGTGTTACAATGTGTATGTGTGTGTGTGTGTCAGTGTTTGTATTTATGTTATTATTTGTTAGTGCAAAAGTAACGTGAGCGCGCGTTTTTGTTTTTATTTTATGCTGCTTACGACACTTCACTTTGAACTGTAAGCACTCTGCGCGCGTGCGAGTGAGATAGTGAGCTTAACAGCAACTGTAGAGCAATGTAATAATCATCATTTATGCTATCTGGCTGTTTGCTCACATCTCTTTCACGTTATGCGTAATTCGCCGCAGATCTGTCAATCGCAGCGAACACATCAATCAAATCGAAATTGAGCGTAAGGTGTTGTTGTTGTTTCTTTTTTCTGCCAACACAGCGGAAGGAGAAGCGCTCAGAACAAACGACTCAGCAAGTGAGCAAGATAGAGAGAGAAAAAAACAGGGCGACGGCAAATTGACAACGTTGCTTTTGCTGTTGCTTTCCACTGTCTCTGCTTCTGTCTTCTATCTGTGGATGTTTCTGTGAGTGTGTGTGTGTGTTCTTGCAGGCATATCATTTTGTGCTTCCGTTGTTATTGCCTTTCCCCCACTACATCTACCAACGTTACTCCACATTGTCTGCTTTTTCGCCGCTTTCTTTGTCACCCGCGCTGCTTGGCCGCGTTTCGCAATATAATTGTTGTTGCCTTCAAAAAATTCATCGGGTAGGCTTAGTTTACATATTCAATGAGTTTGCGATTGTTGTTGTTTTTGGCTAAGCTTTAGGCGAACGCTTATTAACCCACTGACGCCCCATGCGATATTTGCACAGCTGTTCGAGTCGGCCTGCGCTGAATGTGGACGGCGAATTGGGTCAAACTGTTGCTGTGCTACCAGTAGCAACAGCCAGCAACCAACCAAACTTGTCTTGGTCACGTTGGCGGCTGACGACAGAGCGCAGCGCAACCCGAGCCCCTCTTTTCATCCTCTTCTCTCGCTCTCTCTCTCCACTCTCTCAGCTTGTAGCGCTGTCAATATGAAGCACGGTGCGAGATCGCACCATAATCATAAAATGAAAACCGTTTCATGACCGTGTTTTCCGTTGTTGTTTTAGTTTTTGTTTGTTAGGCTAAGAACAAAAGAAATGCGAATTTCGAAACGTCAACCTGATTTTTGGTTAGTACAATAAAAGCATTCTACAGCAAACTTTGATTAAATTTAAAGGTGTATTTATAAACAAACCTTTTATATAATTATAATCTTTTTTTTTTTTTTTTTTTTTTTTTTTTTTTTTTTTTTTTTTTTCGTTTTTATTTCTTTATTTTGTTGCAGCTTATTGTCTTAGACTCTATAGCGCATTTAGCTCTAAACCTTAACTAATGGGAGGGCAGATATGCCAATTATTCTGCACTTGTAGCTACTATCTTAATTAGTTCTAATATTGTCTAGAGGATGCAATCTCTTCAGTCTTCGCCTATTGTTGTTTATAGCCAGGTTGCTTGCGAGATGGTTAGGATGCGCTGCAAGTCTGTCCGCGTATCTTGAACTGTGTCGCCCAATGAGTTCAGCAACTGTGGGAATTGCTAAATCCCTATGTAAGACTGAGTTTCTTACAAACCAGCTGGCTCCAGTCCATCTGCGTAGTGCTTTATTCTGCAGGGTCTGAATTTTGTTCCTTGTAGTCTTCGCCGAGGAGCCCCATAGAGAGATACCATATACGAAGGTTGGGACAACTATTGCCTTGTAGATGGCGGCCTTGCTGCTGTAAGACAACTTGCTTGAAGCTCTCAGCATCCAGTCGAGGGTTTTTAGCTTGCTTTTGCATTTTGAGGTTACTTGACTTATGTGCGCTTTAAAAGTCAGCCTTCTGTCAAGAGTGATACCAAGGTACTTTACTTTTGAGGCTTTGGGAATAGTGGGCCCCAATGCAACGCTTGGGCAATCTCCTCTTCTAGTGGCGAAGGTAGTATGTACAGACTTTTGTGCATTAATGGTGATACACCACCGTTTTGCCCAGCGTCCGAAAGAGTCCAGATATTTTTGTAGTGAGTCTGAAGCTTCTTGCGCAGATACGTGACGTGATAAGATGGCGGTGTCATCTGCATAGGTCGCTATGAGTACTGCATCTGTACTTCCTATATTTGGCTCGGGAGTTGGCATATCTCCTGTGAATAAAGTATAAAGTGTTGGGCCTAGAACACTACCCTGTGGTACTCCAGCCATAATTGGTCTAGTCAAGGATACTGCTTGCCCCCTTGACACTTGGAAGGTTCTTCCAATAAGGTATGAGGATAGCAACGCGAAAAATGGGGCTGGAAGGGTGGTCCTCACTTTCTGCAGCAGTCCCAGGTGCCAAACTCGATCAAACGCCTGTTTGATGTCTAAAAAGACGGCAGAGCAGTACATCTTTTCTTCAAAGGCTCCAAGGATATGGTGCACAACTCTGTGAACCTGTTCCGGT